AAATGCTGTCTTGTTTTGGGAGTGATACAAGCTTCCAAATTGTGTGAGGGTGATAGAAGGCGTATACCTCATCAACTACAGAAGAATACTTCTCACTTATATTACTAGGTCTGGCCCCCAACTGTCACCTTCCAAGAACCAGTTCTGCCTATGGTGAGCGTGAGTGTTGAGGCTTATGCACTGGGGTAACACCTTCTACACCCAGACGTGTTCTGAACACAGAAAGGTGTGTATTCAACTACTGACTGAACCGTGCCAGCTGCACAGTTGACTGAACCAACCTAATGCAATAAAGGCTGTGAAAGCTGCATGTCTCCTCAACAATTATGTTAGGCATGAGATGGTTACGTGTTTGAGGTCTTACTTGCACATTCTTTTTAGAGGGTGTCATGGTCTGCTCCACAGGGGAGCAGCAGCGGTGCAAGTCAGAGAAATATTTCCTATTTCACAAATCCTACTAGCCAGCTACCCTGGCAACTTGGAAGCATATAGAATGTTGTGTGGCTAATTGACTGAGATTATGTTGCTTGAAATTAAAGATTTGTATTGTTATTTGTATTGTATTGGACATGATTTTCCTCAGGACGATACACTAGCAGCTCAATAATCATGGGCATACTGGGATATCCTCTGATACTCTATCTTGAAGACTTACTGTATCTCTGTTAACTATGGCTGTAGGTAATCCAGGCAGCCTTTTATTTGAGGGGGCAGTAGTCACAATAGCTAATGGGCTGGGCCTCCTTCTCTCCGGACAGTGGCCTGTGATATACCCAAACTTATTACCAATGACACACTGATACTTAGAAAGTGTGCCAGAATCACGCCTGGCTCCCAAAGAATGCCACACAGGTGGGTGTGAAGGTGCACTTCTGTACTGCAGCTTGGCCATCTCCAATTAATGCCATCTTTTTGTTTGGTGTAATCACAGCTGTAGGCACAAACTAAGGTCAGTTGGTCACAGATTCTATAGGGCTTATTCCGATCTATCAATTACCTTCACCTGATAGGGTCTAAGTACAGAATCATATTAAATCTTCCAGTCATCTGGTTGCAGTTGTTTCACATTTCCCTATACTGGAGTATATATAATAATTTCCTTTGTCTTGTCTGCCCCATCAATCCCTATCTTCTTGCAGCGGCTATTTGGTCCCTCTATGGATTGCTTCTTATGATGCTCCCATCTCCGCAGTATTTTTAACAAACAAAAGGTAATCTAAATTGATGTACTTTCTCATATTCCAAAATGTTTCTGGCATTTGGTGTTCTATTTGACTCTCTCCACTCAACCAAGCTTTTGCAGTGATTTTATAACCAAGAACTGCAAGGTATAGGAGTTGTGATTTAATAAATCTTCTAGAGTTGGGTCTTGGATCTGATCAATATATTTGTCTCAAGATCCAAGATGAAAAGTGATACAGATCTCTATGAGGACTATAAGTCATAATCTGGTGAACCAGGTTTTGGCTCCAACGTGAATGGTACCCGAGCGATGAATCCTTCTTACAATGTTCAGACGGCAGCTACTCTGCGACACCCTTCAGCAGGAAGATTTTTCTCCAGCTCAGCCTCCATAAAGTATTCATTCCAGCCATAGGTTAGGCCTCAGAGCCTCCAGCACATGCTGAGGCCCAGGCCTTGAAATCGCATAGTCACACAGACCTCCTCCCAGGGAGAAGCCCCAGGAGGGAGATTTTTGGAAAGGTGCTCCTGAATATTTATAATCTCCCCCAGCCATACCTCTGAGTCAGCCTGCTTGGGGATTGGTCAGAGTCATATTTATAACCTTGTAGCTGACACTCCTACTATACTGTATGCTGGAGCCCCATCCCAGCAACAGGTGGAATCAATCAGTCTACCAGGCTTAGGGGAAATCTGCAGAACTCAGAACAATTGATGCCTAGACTGACTACTGTCCAGCAAAAACACTAAGGCCTCATTCACACACAACGCAAGAGCAAAATTGTATATTGCGTATATACGCGTATTTGCAATCCCAGAATGCATAACAATGTTGATTGAGTTAATAATAGTGGGCTCACTCCAGTCAATATAGGAAATCCGTTGGCACATGTAAGTATAACTAACAACGGACGACCGAAATCAAGGCAGAATAATAACAATAAAAATAGTGGGGAACAACAAGGTAGTAAACTTTTGTCCCACAAAAAGAGAGGAATTAAATGTATGTACACCAACGCTAGAAGTCTGGCAAATAAAATAGAGGATAGCAACATTAGCGATAAACTGTTTAAAATTAACTCCGTTACAAAAACTAGAGGCCATCACCTAAAATTGATGGAAACAAAATTCCAGCACAAGGGGCGAAGGGGGTTCTTCACAGTAAGATCAGTTAGGGTCTGGAACTCACTGCCACAGGCGGTGATTTCAGCAAATAATGTGGAATTGTTCAAGAAACTTTTGGACGATTTCTTAAGGGACCGTAATATACAGGGGTACGGGTACTCCTAGAATGAGATCCTAATAGGTTGGACTTGATGGACTAATGTCTTTATTCAACCTCAAATACTATGTAACTATGTAATGTAATGGAATTTTTAATTTGCTGTACGCATGTACAGTGTATATACGTGTAAACACGCGTATGTGCGCGTAAATATGCAGCAATGTGCTTCCCGGACGCATCTCTGTTCCATTGTTTTTGCGCATATATACGCTACACAAATATACGGCTCCATACACGGCTATGTGTATGGAGCCATTTATTTGCATGTGTTGCATATGGTACAATACGTGCGGAAGTGTGAATGAGGCCTAAATGTATTAGTGACACAACTGCAAAAAGCGCTGCCACTACACAAAAATTGTGAGTAAGGGCATTTATCCCCATTGCTCTGCTTGCCTTCATAGGGGCGAGAACCTTTTCACTTCCCTGTTTTTGCTATAAAAAGATCCACTGATTGGCTGCAGTCACAGTTTAGCTGAGAATTTTTGGATCGTCTCCTTCCACAAATGTCAGTTTTGCAGCGGGGTCCCAAGGGGGCCACACAGTGCTGAAACTCGGGCCGAGTTAGTGTTACTTGGCTGAAATTCGAGCAGTGTATGGCTAGCTTAATTTTGAGGCCCGCGTGGTGATCATGCACGAAACCGCATGGATACGGAATCGCTGATCATGCGATTCATTTTTAATGGCACCCCAATCATGGCCAGCAAACCACGCAGTTTCCCCGCTACGACTCTTCGTGTGTAATCGCGGCAGAAAAAAACGCACTGTGCGCGTTGTGGAAAAAGGTACATGTACCTTTTTTCAGCGATTGCCGCACAGATATAACTCTATTAACCCCTTCATGACTGAGCTAGTTTTCAGTTTCTGTTCATAAATGACTGACGCACTTTTTACATTTTTGCTGTGTGATTCTTCCACGTCAGTAATATACTTTCTTACTAAATGCACCCACATATATTATATAATGTTTTTTAGAGGACAGATAGGGACACATGTTTGATATAATCTGCCTACAATGCAATTTATATTTTTGACCGTTTTGTAGAGCGTTCGTCGAGCATAGAACGCGCTACAAAACGGTCAGGTGTGAACGAGGGCTCACTATGCTTCATAAATTAAGTTTTTTAATTTTTGGTTATTATTAGGCTGCTCCAAACTTAGGAACAGCTAATAATTTCCTTAGAGACTGATCCTGACAGCATCTCAGAATCAGATCTCACTAAAGGTCTTTGATCCCGCTCAGATGATCAGAAGTGATACATTTTAGGCACAGAGATACATTGTAATATTCCTGTGCCTGAAATGTATCATAGACATCAGACTATCGAGCTGTCAAAACGAATAGCAGAGAGGTGACTCACTCTGCTACCTTCAGCTGTCAAATACGGGATTGCTATTTAGCGATCCTGTATTTGCATGTAACGGCTTCATTATATCAATAAGGAAAGAAAGCTTTTACAAAAGCTTAACTATTTCATTAATGAATGCCTCAATACTGAGACATTAATTAATGACTGGCAACCACTGAGAATCAGCGGTTACCGGCATTACAGAGCCTTAAATAACTTGTGGCCAGTCATATAGGAACTTCGTGTCGCGAGTACAGTATACGTCTCCCGCCACGAAGGGGTTAAAATCAATGGGGCTGTGCACGTTAGCCCAATTGTGAACCTAGCCTGAGGCTGCATTCACGTATGGCGTTTGCTTTTACTATAGCCGCATACTTATGGAATTCGCTTCCAAAAGTACAGCACGGATGCCGCAATAGTCTGAACAATGCACACGGAATGCATTGCTTTTTCTGATTAGCACGAATACTTGATAGAGCCTTAGGCCCCATTCACACTGAGCGATTTTTGCAGCGATATCGCTCATATTTCCACGCGATATCGCTCTATGTAGCTTCTCCAATCCATTTCAATGGAGCTGTTCACATCTCGTCGCTCAATATCGCTTGTAGCTCGTCGCTGTAGCTTGTCGCTCCTACGTGACCCTTTTTTTCGAGCGGTTTTGCTCCTGATTGCATACAGCCCAATAGGAAAAAGTTGCGCGACGAATCGCTCATATAACATTGCGCGATTTTCATGTCGCTCAGTGTGAATGGGGCCTTACAGTTGCTATAATTGACATGAACAGCTGTTAAGATTCTTTTCTAAAAACATCCGTGACGAGGCACATTTGTCGCCTGACGGTCTGTCATGCGACATATCAGCCCCACATGAACACCCAGGCATGTAGAAAGGTGGGCGCGGCCGGAAAAACAAGCTCCGCCCGCCATTGTGACAAAGACACGCCTGGTGTAGTGTCACATCTGTCAGCGTGTTGTGGCAGCCTAAGGCGACCTGGGAAACACGAAAGCCTTTGTACAAGCTGTCCGTACGTTGTCATAAGCGGTCGCCACTAAACCCACCATTGTTAACCGTTTCTAAACAACGCCGAACTGTCCCTAAGTTCGCAGGGCGTTTCCTGTGTATGACTGCTTTCCCTCCCCGGGGGCGGAGCCGTGCGCAGCTAAGACTGGCATAGTCCCCAGAGTGGGAGGAGCCTTCTATTGGCGGGCCGGCCTTTCGTGACGTTGTGGATGAAGCGGCTGACTCAGGTAGAGAAGGAGGCCGCTTGAGCTGTGCTGGTTCCGTCTTCCCTCTTGTGTCTACCTCGTCCTCCCCTTCAGCCTGCCATTGCAGAAGATGTCGGGCTTTCAGTTTAACATCGCCCCGTTGAAGGAGCCTCTAGGGTTCATCAAAGTGCTGGAGTGGGTGAGTTGTGAAGAAAGTTGGGCCTGTGCGGGTTGGGGGAGGCGTCACTAACTACCTGAGGTTGTATAATAACGGCTGCCGTGTTGAAGGAGGACACATGATCTGCTCTGGCCATCTCTTGTACACGTGTGCCTGGTGCAGCGATGTGCTGTGCATGTGTACGGGCGGCGTACAGTAGCTGTAGCGTGGTATGTGACACCCGGTGCATTTCCTGTATGATCCTCGATCGCATTAGATTGATGTGACAGGAGAGCGCTCGCTATCGGGGGTGGGGGAAGGCCGGTATCACCATGAACTTTTCTATCTTGTCAAATCGTGCAACTTGCAGTCCGATCCCCGTTCAGCATTGAGTGTGTACTTCTAGCCTGCCGATCGTCTCCATAGCAGGGCTGCCTGTCATTGAAGCGTCCATTATACGGGTCACCGAGCAAGCACAGTTCCTGATCCCAGTAATAGTTCTCATGTCTGGGATGGGCGCTGGCTGCTCCTTAATGCCAAGTCTGGGTGGAGCTGCTGTCAGAGGGTCACGAGGTGGGATCGCCCTGTTATTAGCAGCTTCTTAATAATGAAAGCGGCTTCTGCCTGAGTATGAGGAATTTGTCACCGGCTCCTGGGGCACAGCAGGTCGGGGAGTTGGATCACGTGGAAGGCCAGCACCATCCTCACACCCGATAACTTGCACTTTAACCCTTTCACGGCCACTGCCTTTTTTTGCTCATTGTAATCCATATTTTAGGCCTGAAAATTACCCCCCAAACATGAAATATTTTCGGAATACAAAGGCTCTGTAGAATAAAATGGTGGTCGTTACGTCACAGGAGATTAGCGCAGCTCTTTATCAAACGCAAAAATGTAGTAAAAAATGCATTTAAGTTAATTGTGCCCAAAAACACAATATAATCCCCATTTTGTTTATGTATAAAAGATGAGGTTATGACGAGTAAATACCCAACATGCCCAGGTTAATTGCGTGTACCCATTAAACAGCCAGCTTAGAAATATCCATAAATATGGGCCCTAGAATAATTGCTCTCTGGTGCACATGGTGATACCTAATGTGTGGCACGATCATCATTTTCATACACAGGCGCACTGGACGCGTTTTTACGTTAATATATGTACACTCAAGGGGGCGTGGGGCTTGACAAACTTTTTTGCTTTTACATTCATTTTATTTTTATTGCCATCACCGGGGGGCGGGCTTAGACTCCCAGGATGCCGGTCCGGGCCTTCAGGAGTGGCCGCAGGGGTGGGGGCCCCTGAAAGTGGTCTGACGGCAGCTCAGCCATCAGAATTGCTTCCAGTGTGAAGTTGGCTTTACATAGGTAAGCAGAGTCCCGGCGGTATGTTTAAAGGGCCTGCTTTAGCGATGTGTGACATATGCCCGTGGCAGCGAAAGGGTTAAAACGATTTGTCCTGCTAAATGAGTCCCTGCTTTGTAAACATACGTGGAGTAACACCAGTCACACACGACTACAATTTCATTCAGCTGCTTATACTAAATTTCTGAAAAATCATTCAGAGCATTCGATGATTATGTAATGTCCTTCGAACGTCCTTAAAAATGTTTAAAGAAAAACCCCGGGAAAATGATGATTAACCCTTGCAGTGGGGCTAAGTAAAGTAGTATTAAACTCGTTTTTCAATAATTATTCCAGATCAAACAAATATACATTGCCAAGCGAAGTGTTAACAGTTTTGCCCAAGCAGTTACAGTCGTCATGTTTCCAAACAGTTGAATCCAATTTTCTGTTCTGTTTCTCCAGACTTTCTGTTCTGTTTCTCCAGACTTTCTGTCTCCACTAGCTTTCCATTTACTAGCTTTGTAAAGGAAGGAGGAGAGGGCAGCGGCGTGCCCAATGTGCCTGTGTGTTTGTGGAGACACACACACACACACAGCTTACTAGCACACAAGGGCAGCTACATAGGACCCTGCAAGGGAAAGGAGGCACCCTAAAACAGGATATCAGGGCCAGTGCTTAGGGGACCAGCTGATTCTGAAAAAGGCTAAAATGTTTCATCATCAAAGAGCAGCAGTTATTGTAAGTGATTTCATCAGCATCTTAAATAGCTTAAAGACATATTGACTTTTATATCACTTTTAACTGCTCCATGCAAGCTCCATGTGTCTCTAACCCCCCCCAAAAAAATGATATAAAATGAATTGCAGTACAGTGTTGCACGATGGAATAAATGTCAAAGTACTGCAGCGCTGAATACTGAAAAGTGGCCTGGACAGGAAGGGGGTGTAAAGTGGTTGAAGACTAAATCACCAGGAGTTGACCACAATTACTATATGAGGTTTTGTAATTTGTGATGTTCATTTTTCTGTTGGAAAGGAGCTGTGTGTTGCATAAGACAAGATGTAGCTATTTTGTTAGCTGTGCATTTTATCTTTTTTAAATGGTTTGTTCTATTTAGAGTCCCCTGGGATTATTATTAGTTCCTCTTTGGGTTTTTATGGTTTTTTATGTGTTTAACCACTTGCTGTCAAGAGCAATTTCTTAATATTTGCACACACATGATAAAATCTGATTATTATTTTTTTGGCTAGAAAACAGCTTCAGACCCCCAAACAATGATATAAGTTCTGAAAGCAGAGGCTCTGTAGAATTTAAAAAAAATGCTAGTTGCAACTTTTTGTCGCACAGTATTTGTGCAAATGTTATCAAACCAAAATTTCTAGGCTAAAACACACTAAAATTAAATTGAGTGCACAGAAACAGAATATAATACCCCATTTTTTTGTAAAATATAAAAGATGGGGTCATGTTGGGGTAAATTAGATACCAAACATGTCAAGCCTTTAAAACTGCGCGCCCCGTGAAACCGCCAAAAAAACTACAATACCCAGAAATTTCCAAAAGACGATACTAAAAGCTTTTAGTGCTCACAGTGATTGATGGCCCGAGAATTATTGCTGTCACTCCAACGTTCGCGGCGATGTTGCAGGTAGGTGCACCCAACACGTGTTTGAATGTAGGGCGACAGACTTTAAAAAAAAAAAAAGTCTGTCGCCCTATATGCAGTTTATTGCTCTTTAGGAGCCCTAATGCCACCTAGGGACTCCAAAGAAGCTGATGAAGCAGAGATCTGCTTCACCAGCTTCTTCTCCTGGCTCTAAAGGTGCCCATACACTTTACAACCCTTGCAAGACTTTTGGCTTGCGAGGGTTGTAAAGTACTTTAAAAAACGTACGATCTGCCCATCTTGGACAGGCAGATCGTACTTGCGATCATCGCAAGCCCGCCCCCCTGAGGGGCGGGCTTACGATGACTGTAACGAGGGGCGGGTTTACGATGACTGCAAGCGGGCAGTGTGCGCGTGCGCACACCGGCCCGTTCGGCAGTTGTCGAACCAGCATGCTGGTTCGACGGAAGAAAGAAACGGTCGCACGCCTTCCATACACTGTACGATCGCGGGATTTCCCACGATTCTCGTACGAGAGTCGTGCAGTGTATGGGCACCTTTTTAGAGCTGCAGAATGTGCACATTTTATTTAAAATATAAAACCGCACTGTGCTAGTATAAAAACCAACTCTAAATGCTTGTTCATATGTGTACAAAATAGTATACAATAAATCTGTGCAAAAGTTCAATAGAATGGTTGTGTTGTAATAAAAGACTTTGTATGTCCCAAGCAATATAAAGTGATTCGTGCTTCCACTCCACTGCGTAAAAATTAAGTCTTTAGGCGCACTCACCAGACACTGTTGTTCACCTTATTTCAGATGAACTTTCATGTTTTTTAACAGACTTTTTTTTTCTTCTGTGTGCTCTAATATCAGCCAAATCAGTAGGACGATGCTTTCTCTCCTTCCCTGCTCTGTTCATCTAGCAGATCAAACACCTCCTTGTATGATCCTTATACCTTCTCTGTTCCTGTTTTCATTAGTAGAATTGAACCTCCATATGGTTATGTGGTACTGGCATCAATATAAAAGATGAAATAAAGGGCCTTATAATCATTTGTGGGGCTATAGACATTCCTAGAATGAATAGACATGTGGGAATATTGCATTGTAAAAGTTTTTATATAACTGTAGAGTCTCACACTTTAGATCTACAAAACCCTCCCTCTGTCTCATATAGTGGAACCTCTTTAGAAGGGTTAAAAGTCTAAGAGGATGGATAGCAGCTGATTTTAATGAAGGATGAGCTGGTATTAATCGCCCCATTCACACTGAGCAATTTATCCGTGCGATATCGCTCTCCAATGCAAGTGAATGTAGCTGTGCTCGTCGCAGGACCCTTTTTTAGCGCGGATGTCACGCAGTTGCACTCGGTCCAATGTAATCATTTGCACGATATTGCGCAGAAAACAGTGTGACAAACGCGCGGTTTGCAATCCGCTCAGTGTGAATGGGGCCTACGTGTATTTCATTGTTAACATAAGAATAAGGACATCTAGGGGGGAGTAGTGATATTGCAATGTACATTATATAAGAAAGGAGATTGAACGTGCCAGTGTGTTGGCTGTCACCTCAGAAGAAGTTGTTAGTGACTAAACGCATGTCAGGTGGGCGGGACTTGACAGGCACCACGAGCAAACAGAACGGATGCAGATGAGCGGTCCTTGATGGTTTTTAGAGCGTTTGATTTTATCTACAATTGTAAGTGCGATTTTAATTGAATAAACACATTGTTTTTTTTATGCTGCACAACGGAGAGTTTCCTTTTTTTTTTTTCAAATTGACAATTTTTATTGTTTTGTTCTATGCATATGTTGTATGCAAGAAATACAAAAAATAACATGAAACATAAAATACAAGTTAAGGCAACATACAGACCTTAGCCAAGGTATACCTAATGAAGCTCTCATCATTACACATTAAACCCACTGCGGCCACCAACCCTTAACCAGGTGGAGTACAAGTTGCTTCAGTGTATGCACATAATAATATCTGAGGACTACCGCTAGTGCGAAAAGAACACATAGGTATGCAGTTGTATCACATATACTGTCTCTACGCACCATTATCTCGGGTTGGAGGAATATCGTGCTAATTCCACACTGGAAAGGAGCTCTAATGGGCTCTGAACCTCAGCCAGGCCTTGTTAACTAAAATTGAATACAACAAGAGATACCCAGGAGAGAGCCCGGGAAAGAAAAGGTATAGAGCACAGAAAGAGAGAAGTACGGAGAGTTTATTCTTATGTTTCCGAGTATAATGGGGAGGAGGAATGGAGAGGGTGTAAGGATCATACAAGGAGGTGTTTTATCTGCTGGAAAAGCAGAGCAGGGAAGGAGAGAAAGGATCATCACACTGAATTGGCTGATATTAGAGCACACAGAGGAAAATACACTGAGCCAGATTATTATGACCACCCCATCAGTACTTCGTGACTCCACGAGATATTGAAAGGTGATGCGAGGAATCTGGCACTGCACTGTTGCCCTTCTGTTGTCTTGTACCAGTCTTGCCACTCTCTGTTCTGCCCTAACATTGACTAGTCGCTGACGGCTACAATTCGCACGTTCAGACCCAGATTTTCGGCTGACAGTCCAATCTTTAAACACTTTTTAACAAAGAGCCCCTCTTGAACATTTAATGAATTCTGCTGTTTTGCTGATATTCGCTCCATGGCTCCGAGCGCCAACAATCATCCCACGTTCAAAGGCTGTTAAATCACGTTTACCCATATCTTCAGAAAAAAATCACTTCTACTGTCGTGGTAAACAACCTGCTTCCCTTTATAATGGTCTGGTCCTCTAGCAACTTCAGCGCGAAATTATAGCTAATTTGCCTACAAACGTCAGGTGGTCATAATAATCTGGCCACTACGTGTAGTTTGTTTATATTGATTGGGACACATGAAGTCTTAATTACAAGACATTCATTCTATTCAACTTTTGCACTTTATTACACAGATTATATTTATTGTGTTGCACCAATTGTTGTAATTATTTTGTACCAGGGTGGATTTGATTGAAATCACAGACATTCCCATTCACTTTAAGCCTGGTACAGATGCATTTCTCTTTAAACAATCATACAGTTTGTAGTGTACATAGATTTGCTAAACAATGGGATAAAGGAATATTCCTGAATTTTGTTTTATGATTTATCTCATGGTTGCTTACTGTGAAATTGTGTGAATGCATCAATGCAGTGCATGTTATCTCCGCTTGCAGAGCTTGGATTCATTGAATGAGTTTACCAAAAAATGTAAATATTGCAGAATATACAGCCTCATGCTACATAACTAAGCTCCATTTCATGCTGAATAAACTAAATTATTAATGTATCTTAAATAAGAAACTATCTTTAGAGATTTTTACCCCAAAAGCATTTTATTAAAATACATTTGATAAAAATCAGATTAGAAATTAAAAAAAGTTTTTTTTAAATAAAAAAAACAATGATTCCCCCAAACAAGGAGATCACACCACCAATTCAAGATGTAACAGTATGATTAAAAAAACATATTTATTTAATAATTATAAAAGTCTAAATATAAATGAATGACCCATATATATCAAAGACAAAAGACATACAACAAACAGCATATAACATCTATGGATTGCACTCGCCTGGAGTGTAAAATATCAGGTAATAAACTGGTAAAGTGATCAGTGCACCCCAGTAGTAGATAAATTCGTTGAAAAAAAAACACCAAATGAAATTATCCTCAAAACGAAATCATAAATGGAGAAGCCTGTATTCTGACAGATGATGACTCCAACTCACTGCATATAAAGAACTTCACAAAGGAGGAAAATGTCTCCTGATCAAGAGATGTAAAAATGGCACTCGCAGTACTGTTGCTTATCGTCAGTTCGGAATAATCCGCTATTGCACCTCCATAGGTATGGTAAGTACTATGATAGTGTTCAATCTAGATCTTGACACAAAGAGCTTTCAATGTGTAAGTTACTTTCAAAGGAGTGCAGGGTTTCCTCCAAGATAGACAGACAGTACACGCGGGTTCCCATCAACAGGTGCAGGGCGCAAACAGGAGATCGACACATGGAATTAGTGTAGGCTGATGTCCATTTGTGGGTGCCATGAAGGAAGCGTTAGTTTGTTTCAAACGTAGTGTGTACAATTCAAATGACAGCTAAACAGCTGCAATGAGAAGCTCTTTGTCTGTGAATAGGCTGTCATATCAATAATGGGGTGTTCATAGCCGAGGCAATCCAGAAAAATGACACGCCAGTCCCTTGACGCGTTTCTCCCCCACCGGGACTTCGTCAGAAGGGCGTGGTGACAGCTCCGGTGGGGGAGAAACGCGTCAAGGGACTGGCATGATATTTTACACTCCAGCCGAGTGCAATCCATAGATGTTATATGTTGTATGTCTTTTGTCATTGATATATTTTTAATCATACTGTTACATCTTGAATTGGTGATGTGATCTCCTTGTTTGGGGGAATCATTGTTTTTTTTTTATATATATAAAAGACGCAGCACCGGATATTGTGATATATTTCAATTTGTAAACCTTCCGCCCCTTCCATATCTATTTGATATTATTTTTATTTTTTTTAAATCATCGATTTGCATCCACCCCGTTTTGTACACACATGAATGAGCATTCAGAGTTGTTTTTTGATACTGGCGCAGTGCTGCTTTATATTCAGAATGGGAGGGATATTTACTAATTGGCACAGCTGCTCAGAATTAGAGTGCAATCCGAGCGTGGTGTATGAAATCTTTTGATTCATTTGTTGACCTGGTTTAATTATTTTTATTTTCCCCCTTTTTCTAGGTCTTTTCTATTTTTTCTTTTGCAACATGTGGGGGTTACAGTGGAGAGACAAGCCTACGTGTGACATGTACTAATATAACAATACCAGATAACAAAACTCTGGTGGCTGCATTTGCGTACCCATTTAGGTAAGAATAACTGCTCATGCAGTGTTTTCTGACTCTCCATTTTGCTACATAAAGTTTTTTTTTTTTTTAATTTCCTGTTTTTTGGAGTCTTCTCTCGGCTTAAGGTCTCATTTACACAAGAAAAGGCCGGCACGTACAGCTTCTATTGGAGTACGGCCATGTACTCCCATAGAGGACAGGGGCTGCGCACTTATCACACGCAGCACCTGTCCTTCCCGGGAGCTGCCCGGTACGGCCGTGCACGCAGCATGGTGAATGAGACCTTGAGGTCAATATGGGAGAAATATATAACTGCTATTGTTGACATCCTTCTAAAAATGCTAGTTGACTGGCTATTTTAGTGCGTTGAGTCACTAGCCCATATCCAGAATGCAGCAAATCCTGATCTGCATTCTTCTTTCCAGTCAGTGACTCGGAAGACATTGAAGTCAGAGAATTAGCATGACATTCAGGGAGCATTTTCAGAAGATCTTTTACTGGCAATCCTCCCTATTTCTCTCATAACATGCATCCTTTAAAGTGTATGGCCAGCCTGTGTCTCTGTTGCAGATTTTCTCTCAATTCTTGTCTAGTGGAACTGTTGTCAGCAGGGCAGAAAATGAAGGTAAATCTCTCGGAGAGCAGTAAATCCACACATGAAATCTAATACTTCGCAAACTCCATCCAAAACTAAAAAAAAAAGTTTGGGGTTTGGCATATACTTTTGTAAACCCTAACAATATACTTCTCTGATTTTCATTCTTTTTTTTTGTTAAAGGGTACCTGCGGTCAAAAACTAAAAATAAATATGTATTTCTACATTGCATTTCCAGAAGTTCTATCCCACTCCCAATGACCATATCCATCTGGAAGTTTTTAAACTTACTGAAGATGCCCATAAAATGTGCTCCCTCAATGCACTGGCACAATTTCACTCAGCCCTGTGCATATGCACTTTCCTGTGTCGCAACTCGCAGAGCCTCCCTCCTGAACTACAACTCAACATCTGAACAATGTAACGTTATCATTGCTTGCTGGAAGCAGTGCATTATGGGCTATGTAGTCTTGGGAAATTGCATCACATTAAGTAGACAGGAAAGAGATGCAAAGCACACTGGGAATCCAGGAAGTTGTTGAGTGATGGGTAGATGTAAGGCGGCACTCACTACATAAAAGGGATTTTTTCAAGTAAGCTTTGATTGTTATCAAAAACAAGTCTAGTATGCATTCCTATGACAATGCTGATGTTATACCAGGATAGTATATGCTGGGATTTTACAACTCCTTTTTAAATATACCATTAAAAGTATTTTTATTATATTCAATACGTGCAAAAAAAAAAAAAACCCTGGCAGAAATCTTATGAGCTGATGTCTTCCTGTACACCTGTGCCTTTATTATGCCCTTATCAGTTAGCATTGTTCCCAGCAATCTCTGTGGACTACAAAACACCACCCTCCTATGTTTTGAAGAGGAAGTGTTCTGTAATCCTGTATTAGGGTGACAACACTGTCACCTTAGTACAAGAAATACTGGCAAGATTGCCAGGTGAAAATAAAGGGGGGAGTCTGAAAGACATTTAATGCGGTCACCATGTGTACGGACTGGTAAGTTGCAATGTGTTACATTTTTTGTTCTAGGGTTTAAATATGCTTTCATTGATTGACGAAACTGATACCTAAATCCCATTCCACTATTTGCTTAATGTGATGCTAAACTCAGGAGTTAGATCTTACAAATGCATTAAAGTACCTTAACTAGGTGGCAGAGCTTGCCATGGCCTTGTGCAGATGTATCTCCTGCATCACCTCTCGATTTATCTCTATCCAGCGCTATTCTATACCCGTTTCTTTCTCAAGATGAGCCGCTGTAGCAAGCTACAATCGCAGAGGAACAAACAGCAGGGGTCTGGTGCACGCCGCATGGATGTTGGGACCTTCTTCTGTCCGGACTCTGGGAAGCACGCGGGTCGGCAGAGATGGAGTCTGACCACAAGGATTCAGAGCGATCCACGCCGGAGGACAGCCAGCGTTCCGCTTCTCAGTGGAGCTTTGTTTCCTGGGCCGCCCAAGGACACCTCCCTAACTGAAGATGACATGGATGTATCTGCCTTACCCAGAGAGCTGCACTGTGTCCTCTCTCTGCTCCCCACCAAGTGGGACCTGGAGGGCATGTTATCCCGCCTGGAATCCACAAATAAGCGTGATATGAGAGGGATTGGTGAGGGGTTCCAGGGTCTGCATCAGCACCTGGGCACTGCAGAATCTGCTAATGCATCTTTTACTACCACTATTTGGGAACTTCCAGAAACTCTCTCTCTCTCAGCAGCACTCCTATCTGCCAGGTCCCTGTTCCTATGTGGATGATCTTTCGGACAGATCCAGGCGCAACAACATCCACCTGAAAGGGATCCCTGAGGCTACAGACACGGTGGACTTGGCACCTACGGTAAGGGCTATTTTAAATATGGTGCTGGACAGGGTAGACACTGAGGACATTGAGCTGGACAGGGAGCATCGCACTCCTGGGTGTCGAAGGCCAGGTGCCAGCGCCCCCCCGTGATGTTCTTTGCTGTGACCACTTTTTTAAAGTTAAGGAAGATATTTGGTTGAAAGCTAAAACTAAAGGGCCTGTGTACTTTGATGGTGCGAAAGTGACTCTACCAGGACCTGTTCCCGTCTACTTTGGCCCAGAGGTGTGCTTTGCGCCCCCTGATGGCTTTGTTATGCAACTTTTGCCATCTCTTATCAATGGGGATACCCTTTTTCTCTTCGTGCCTTCCTCAATGGCCAAACTGATCCTCCAGTCCCCTGCGGAGTTGCCTATATTTGTTCAATGCTTGGAGCCTTGGCCTGATCCTCTACCTCCTGCCTTCTCAGGCCTGCCTCAATTGGATCAGTGGACTGAAGTCACGTCTCCAGGTAAAAGATGGAGGCCTCCTTCCTCCTCTTCAAGGTGACGCCAGTCATCCGCGCCTCTTACCAGAAACCCAACTGATCATCTGGGTTGGCTCTTCTTTGTCCCTCTTTCTGCTGGTGGGGATCTTAGTGCCCTGCTCATTTGTTGACTGTCTGCAGTTTTGGCTTTGTACCATTTCCCCTCTGCTAAGATTCGAGTCAATGGTCTTCTTTCAAAGTTGGTATGCATTAGTAACAGCACGAGGCCAGGTTGCCCCTTGTCACCTTATTTGTACATTATTGCAATGGAACATTTGGCCATAGTTTTTAGACAGAACGTGGCTATTGCAGGGATTCGGTTGGGAGGCCAGGATCATAGGATGGGGATTTACCCTGATGATCTTTTGCTTTATCTTTCAGACCCTTTATCCTTCCCCGCTTTGTTTCAGGTATTTTGGGAATTTGGCAAGGTGAGTAACGTTAAGTCAATTATTCGAAATTGTAAGCACTGGATGTGTCCTTGCCAAAAGGGATCCGGTCAATCTTGCAGTGCGCATTTTCTTTCTCATGGCAACTGTTATTGTATTCCATAAATTACCTTCCCCTTTTGCGCACCACATTGGATTCTTTGGTGGCTCGTCACCGCCTTCTGCACACCTGGTTTGGTAGGGCTTTTTAATTTTCAAGATGGATATCCTGCCTAGATTATTGTTTTTGTTCCAAACCAATTGTCTCCCCTCCCCTCTCCCCTCTCCCCTCTCCCCTCTCCCTCTGCCTCATGGTGCTCTGTGTGGATGGGGGACGGCCTCTCAGCCTGGGCAGGGATTGCTGCAGGGCTGTGTGGTGCTTGGAGGACTGTTTTTTAACTGGCCAGTGTGGAGTAGGGTACTGTGGGAGCCGCGGTCGCGGCTGACGCCATTCATTCGAGGCCCTAGTCTGGTGCGGCCTCCAGGCGGCTCCATGGCTGCCATCTTGGTTAAGGGCGAAACGCCCTTTTCATGATGTAACTTCCACACTGGGCCTCCTGTCTTCCTGGAACGAATGGGGAGGGTCCTCCTTTCGGCCTGGGATGCCGTTGAGAGAGGACACAGGGCGCAGCTCTCCTCAGTGCAGGTCGGACTGCTGGTGCTGGAAGAGTTAAACAGCCAGGC